ATCATATCACATTGCAAATTAGGGGCTGGGAAGACAGAGCTTTGCTGATTATGCCTATTATGTGTGTCTGAGGGAAATACTTTACTCCCCCAACTAAGAGGAGACAGTTATAAAAAGTTCAGGGAGAAAACCAGGAATTAATGGGCAGTGGTGGCTCTCTCCTCAGTTGGATCTGAAGAAGAGAACAAAAAAGCCGATTTTGGCAGCCCTTGGAGAGCTTTAGTGAGCCAAAAGGGTAATTGATGGGGTGCTGGGACCTCCTGTCCTCTACATTGCATCCCCTGGCCAAAAATAGCTGTGTGATGCTCAGCTGGGCTGGGGCACCGGACCAATGCAGGGCTCAGACCCTAAAAACAAATAAAAAACAGCCCCAAAAGTGCAGTGGCAAAAGAGCTGAGTGTCGGAGGAGGCTGAGCTCCTCAGGGTGCCCTTGGGCTGCCCAACGTGTGCCTGGCGGGGTGGTGGCAGGCAGGGAGGGACCCCCCAGCATCCCCTTCTGTGCAAGGGACGGGGCCATTACTGACGGCTGCGAACCCGCCCCATCCTTGGGGTCCTGCTTCTCTCCCTGGAACATTAGCAAAGTAAAGAAATATGAATAAATTAAACATAACATCAATTATTTACCGATCCGAAGCGTTTCTTCCTGCTTTTTTCAGAGCCCAGCATCCCTCTCAACACCCTGTGCAGCGCAGCTCTATTTTATTTTTTTAAATTATCTAACGTTTCTTTCAATTTTTAATTCTCCCACCATTTAATAATTAATGATCTTACTTTCGCTTTAATATTTTTTCAAGCAGCACTGCAGGCCTAAAGGAACCTCAGACAGGTCTCTTTATTTTCATTCTTATTTTATTTGGGAATTTCTCTCTCCCAGTCTTTACCTTCTTTACCACCACTTCTTTTTAATGTTTTTAAGATCCTTTCACCCCACTTTTTCCTGTTGGCTCCTTGAGCGTGGCTCTCACTCTTGCTTTGCTTGGTGGGGCTTCCCACTAGCTGTCTGTGCTGGAGACACTTTGTAGCCAGACTATTTTCATGATATTTGCATATTTTCAACAGCAGATGGACCTAGAATGCCAAATTATGTGTTGGTGGTTTTTATTTTTTTTTTTAGTGTAGCTTATTTCTCTTTGATTGGGATACATTTTGATCCCTGAAAATGAAAAATTCTCTCCTGGATGGCTTTATACCCACCCTTTCTTAAAACCTTCGAGGAATTTTGGCTTGGTTTGGGATTTCTTTTCTTGCTGGGCCAGGTTGTTACACGTAGGGCAGGGTCTGGGTGCCAGCGCTGTGTGAGCACCAATAACCCAAACCACGTGCAGCTGAGGGAAAGGAGGCAGCCACCGTCCTGCACAGCAAACGCTCTCTAGAAATCTTCAGGCAGGGAATAGAGCACGGCAATTTGGCTTTTGGAAAGCAATTTTCCTGCTCGTTTTTAACACTGCTGGACCAGGACCAGAAAACCCGACCATGGGCCAGGAGAAATCCTAAACCGATGAGCCCGGGCACTTCGCAGTGTGAGGCACCACCACTCAGCCGTGGTAGGAGTGGACTTGATTCATAAATTCAAATTACAGCAGTTTACATACCAGCTAGCATGTAATTGCCCTTTAATACTTTTACATCCTAATGCTGTTACAAAGGACAAAGAATTATTGGGATCTTCCTCAAACGTCTCCTTTGATGAAGGAAATGTGAGCTGGGAGTGCTCGGCGTTAATTTGGGAGGGCTGATAGAGGTGGCTTACTGTAAGCTCGGCTTCTGCTGGCAAAGAAGATATTTCAAAGCCCCAAGCAACACAAAGACACGAAAATGAAGTGACACGGACATTCTGAAAACAGCTGGAGAACAGCTCAGAGAAAGAAGACGTGGCTTTACACGTTAAATCTTCCTGGGCCTGGAAACGCTTAACCCCAGCGCATCTGTGTTCAGCATCCCGGGTGCCCTCAGCACTTCTGCTGCTATCAGACAGGTGGGGTGGCTAGCAGAGGGTTGCATTTTTTGGGGACAGCCCCTGGTTGGTGCCTTAGCAGGAAACCTGACCTTTTCTGCTCAGAGGGATGCACGTGGGGGCTTGGTGGTGCCACAGAGCAGGGATGGAGTGGGCTGGAAACCCCTGGCTCTGCCCAGTGCCTCTGGGCAGCCTCCAGAGCTTGTCCCTGCATCTTTCTTCCTTTTTTTTTCCATCTTAGCCCCCAGCCAGCACCGTGCATGATGTAGGCAGGCTCTTGTCACCCCCGTGGTGGAGGAGGTGGCCGTAGCTTATCTCTCACAGCCACCCTTATGGTGCGTTGGAGGCAGCAGCGTGGCACCGAGCATCCCCAAAGCACCGGCTCACTGCCTGTTGGTGACCCGAGAACCTTTCAGCTCCTGCAGGTGGCCAGGCAGCATGGGAACACATCAGAAAGCTTCGTATCCTGGATGTAAGCTGCACTTTTGGGCTCTGTGCAGCTGGAGGTGAGGTTGAATGGTCACACGCACACCTTCACTGGGCAAATTTGAAAGGCTCCACAGCCAGCCTGCCCCTGGGTGGTGAGTTACAGCAAGCCCGGAATAAATGGAAGCAGGCAAACAGAGACTGCAATAAATGCTAATGCATTTTAACCTGCTCTGCTACCTACCTGCCAATTAAATGTCATGATGCGCTTGTAACAAGGAAATAAAACACGGAGGCACGAGAGAGGTCGGACACAGACAAGCACTGACCTAAGCATTACGAGTAAATTGTGCATTTTTCATTACAAAATTATTATGACTGGATTCTGAAAGCCTGGAGTGGATGAGGAAACCTGCTAACATCAAACACTCCGGGGAGAGGCGTAATGGCTGGTCCTAATTACACAGCAAGGCGTGAGCTGGGAGAGCAGGCTGAAATGGCAACATTTCGGTAAATAAAAATGTCAGTGGGATTTAATTAAAACAGAAGGAACTGCATGAAACCTGTGAACTTTGGGTAGCCGGTGGCTGCCGCCTGGGCCACGTGTGATGGGGAGGCTGGGGAGGCAGCAAGAGGAGAAATTTTGCCTTTCGGGCCGTGCCAGCACTGCCACCTCAGCACTTTTAAAGGTGACTGGATGAAATATGCATGCGGATTCCTTCAGGGCAAGCCGGCCATGCTATCAATTTATGCCAGGTCAATTTAGCGGAGCCTTTGGATTAAAGGGACCTGAAATATGATGCAGGTTTCCTTCGGCGATCAGCCCCTGAGCGATGGCGTGGGGTCTGGGCTTGCATTTCCCAAAGTGGGTGGACGGGGGCACCCAGGGGTGCGGGCAGCACCCAGTGCCCCAGCAGGGCAGCCCCCGGCCTTTGCCCCATTTTTGATGAGGTCCCACCACAGGGGACTGTTTTGAAGCCTGGAAATGAGCTTCCTCAGAGGCACCTCTGACACCTGAAGCCAGCAAGGCTTCGTCGCTTCTACCTTGGGCTCAAATACGGCATGTAAGGCACCAAAACGCTGCGTGTTTTATCCTATTTGTGTGCTGAGCTTGTGGCACATTATGAGCCGTTCATTAATTTTCCCTCAGAGCACCAAGTGAGTCAGGCACAAACTGTTCCCAGCCAGGGGGACGGGAGGTCAGGAGCAGGAGAAATATTTTCCGAAGTGCACGTGGCCGGCGGGCAGGGCCCGGCTCCTCCGTGCGTCCCCTTCCATCACCGGATGGAAATCAGGAGCAGCTCCCAGCCCTGCGGTTGGAAATTGCCTCCTGGTTCACAACCAGTGATTGCTGAGAGCCCACTGACATCTGAGCAACATTTTCCCAGAGCTTTGGATCACGGCTTTGGTTGCTGCTTGAGGCTGCCTCAAAGTGTGCGCTTGCACTTTCAGCTTCTTTGGACATTTTTGTAAATATTTACAGTATTCAAATCTTCTTTTTTTTTAAATAAAAATCTGCAGCACACCAAGACCTGTCCCGCTGACTTCTGCATGTTGCTCAGGCTCCCCAGATAGGCTGATTTTTGAGATTTGTTCTGAGACAACTGCATTTCTTCCTCCTCTCTGCTTCTGAAATTAACTGAATTAAAAGCCCTCATCCCAGCTGGCAGAAATGAGTGATTAACCTCAGACCCACCTTAGGGGCAGCATGCTGAATAGCTCAGGTTCCCAATGCGTTTCTCTTACGAAGCCAGGTGTGGCTGCTGTGTAAAATGGATAAAGCAGGGAATGGGAGAGGAAGGGGTGAGTGCCTCCATCCCCATCTCTCCTCACCCGGAGCTGCAGCAGCCAGCACGGGGCACTGGGGGCCAGGCAGAGCCCAGCCTCCTCCCGTACACCCAGCCCAGGCTCCTTGCTAAGCACAGAAATTAATTTAAGGAAGAATGAAAGCAGTGATGCCGGGCTGTGCTTTTATTGGCAGGAGCTCCCTGCAGCTGAGATGCCTTTTAGCTCTTCAGAGAACGGGACAGGCGATCCCGCTCTGCCTGCCCGGACCCGATCAGCGTGAGCTGCGGGAAGCAGCAGCCCCCCGTCGGCACACTAATTGCTGGATCTGACTTTAATTTAATAAGTGGGGACAGCCAAGCCTCCCGACTGAGGGGACAGCACTCAGCTGCTCCTGCAAGCCTGGCCTGGGACCCGTGCTGGAGCGGTGAGCATCCTCGGGGCTGTTCTGCTCATCCCAAAACACAATCTCCTCCCAGGACAGGAGAAAATCACTGGGGAAAACCTTGTGGGCAGCTCCTGGTGTGAGCAGCAGGGACACCCCTGTGGAGCACAGCCAGCCCCGCCACCCCTCTTTTCCATGCCTTTGAACGTTGGGTCTGTGATTTGCCACTAGCTCTGCTTAAAAGGAGGCAAACGAGCTGCTCTGCAGCACCCAGCACAGCTACCTTGTCCTCCCTTTATTCTCCTGGAAGCCTACCCTGCTTTCCATCACCAGGGCGGCTTGCAGGCTCGGGAAGTGCTGCCAAAAGAGTGAAATCCAAACATGTTTTGCACTGCTTTAGATAGAACCAGCCAGCGCAGTCCCTGCTCGCGGAGCTGTTAAAGTGGTATTTCCCACAAGGAAGGACGTGCATCGGGACGGGGACGGGTTTTCTATTAGGTGGATCAGATTAATGCTAATTAATATACCCACGGCTGCGTTATTTTTAAAGAAGGGAGTCGTGGAGGAGAGAAGATAAAAGACGAGAAGATGAAAAGTCATGACATATTAATGATTCAAACCGTATGCCGGGGCTGGCAGAACAGAAAGTATTATGAATAATTCAGACGAGACAGGATTTTCCTTGCAAGGTCGGTGAACGTAACAGGGCTGGATTTGGGAGGCTCGGCTCGTGCTCTCCGGCACTGCCCAGTGAGCTCCCTCCGTCCGCAGGCTGCCGAGGAGCAAAGCCCCTGCGGGGGCTCACCGCGGAGTCCCCCCACAACTGCTGGGAAGAGTTAAGGCTGCATCTCGGTGCCAAATGCATTAAGGGCTGCTTTGGAGCCCAGGTCCCGTGGGAACGGGCAGGGCGAGGAGGCAGCGATGCCGTAGGCGGCCGGCGAGAGACCGGGATTTCTCCGAAAATGGCTTGAAGGAGGAGGGCTGCTTTGGAAGATGCACGTGAGTACCCTGCGTGGCAGATGCCTCTGTGCTCATGCTGCTCCTTCTCTTCTCCTAGAAATGTAGTTGGGGAGACAAATCCTGTAAATAACGTGCAAATGGTCTGAATGCCTGGGTCCCTGCCTTACAAATAGCGCTGTAAGCCGGGAGGGGTCAGCAAAGTCGGGACAGGAGCCCGATTGTTATACAGTGGGTGTGGGTGCAAAAAGCCCTTGCCCCATGTGAAGGCACTGCTCCCACGGAGATGTACTCAGGCAAACCTGCCAGGGCCTCGAGGGAGAGCCTAACTCAGCCTGAGGTGATATTTTTAACCTCATCTGGTCTACTGATAAATTTTACATGGGCTTTATTTCATAACGGGTCCATCAAGGACACACGGCCTGCAACCAGTATCCGTGTCTGGCAGCCGAGGCTGCGTGCAGCAAATTCCTCCAGCTCAGCTTTTGAGTTGTGGTCATTTGTGAGTGTGAGGGAGACCCTTTGGGCATCTCACTGCCTCGCAGGAGCCTTTTGGTGCTTGGGTACCTCATTGCGATGGATTTTGCTTGGGCAGACCAAACCTGCCTGTGTGTGAGGGGAGCACATCGCTGTTAGCACTGGGGTTTGGCTGCCCAGGGGAGAGCCCCACGAGGCGTGGTGGGCTCATGTGTGCCCAGCACGTCAGTGGAAGCAGGGGGAAGGGAGGGCAGAGGAGAAACCAGGGGGCGAGGGGTTGAACAACGAGTCTTGCCCAGGAAAGGGGGCTCCCAGGCAAGCACTGGGGGTGCCAGGCACCCCACCTGGGTCTCCTTCCAACAGGTTTTGACTTCAAGGTGTGATTCATCTCCTTTCAGCGGGGTATCAATGCTAAGGGCTCTTAAATGTAAAATGAAGTTTTGCCTTCGGTGTCCCGGAGGGGCTGCACGTCCCAGCCATGCGGTGAGGTCTGTCTGGGGGCAGAGTTGCACTCCCTTGGCTGTTTGTGGCTTCTTCTCTCCCAAGCTGCTTTAAAACAGAAAAAGGGAGGCGCACAAAGAGGCAGCCTGCAGTTCCCAGCGACCTTCCCATTTATTCTAAGCACCGTGTCCCTTTGGAGACGTGCACAATTTCGTCTGGCAGCACAGCAGAAAGTGGCGTTTGTGCCTACCAAAGCGATTCCCTGCTTAACCTCACCGCTGCCTTTTATCCTGAGTATGCTCTCAGTATTTATGGGCTTTCTCTGTTAAATGGGAGAGCTGTGAAGTGTGCTAAAACTTCTTAATGAGTTTCCTAAGGAAGGCAAATGCTCACGCTGCCTGGGCCAGGGGTGGGATGGGAGCTGCCCTGGCTGGAGCTGGGGTGTGGGTGCTGCGGGTCTGTGATCGGGGCAGGAGGACAGACCCCACAGCTCCTCCCTGCTCCTCCTGTGCATGTCCGGGGGAAGCTTCTCGCCTTTCCACGGTGTGAAAACCATTGAGAAATACCAAGCTGGAGACGTGAAAAATGCCACGTCCAATTTAAATGTCCTGATGGAGCAGAAGCAGCGCTTGTGGGGTACTTTGTGGAGCGTGGTACACGATGACCTGGGAAGGGACTCAGATTTGGGGGAACTCAGAAGGAGAGCGGGACAGCACGAGCAGCGGTGCTGGGAGCTGTGCTGACTCAGTTCTGCTGCCAAGGCGTTTTCTCCTCTGGGTTATTTGAGGGCCCTGGGTTATTTTAGGCCCCCTCCTTTCTCCCAGCCCCAGCAGCCATGCGCTAAGCTCCCTCAATCCCCGCTTCCTCCCGTAATTAATAAACCCCCAGCGAGGCTGAGCTGCTGGCGCTAATTGGAGCACAGCGCGGGGCTGCTAAGAGGATTACTCACTTTCTGTGCTGCTGGGTTCCCGTGTCAGTGGGAAAACCTCAAGCACTGGGTCAGCAGCGGGGCAGAGCACAGCACAGCAGCCCCGTCCCCCCTGCTTCCTCCCTCCTTTGGCTCATTCAGTGCCTTCCCCGCTCCTGCGGCTCTATTTTACCCGCTCAGTACCCATTTTGTGTAGGCCATGGCAGTCAGCTCCAGGATTTTCTTCCAGAGATGGTAGGACCAGGCTTTTTAGCACTGCCAGGGACCTCGTGCCCTAGCTGCACTAACCACGGAGCAATGCGGGTGTTGATACCCCGCTTTCTTGCAGCACAGTCAAAAATACCCAAGCCGCCTACCTTGCTGCTCGGGAACAGCTGAGGATGGAGTTTGTGCCTCGCAAGGCTTCTGCGAAACAAACAGAGCTCCCAGGAGCTGGCTTCCATCTATCACTCCTGTAGCGGAGCTGCCACACCAGGTGTGTTGATGATTAAGGCATTTAAACAGGCGTACTTGGTTTATTCGAGATGTTGTCTTGGAGCACCCATGGGAGCACGAAGCCGCACCCTGTCTGCTGCTCGTCTTGGACGTGGTGTCACCCCAGTGGCACCACCTGAAATTTTTGGGCACGGGCCACCAAGAGCTGCCCACCACCTCTGATATTTCTCCAGGTGTTTGCTGCACACACGCGTGCTGCTCTGCACTGCTGCCTTGCCGAGCCCAAATCCTCCGCCTCGTTTTTCAGTCTGCGGCTCGAAGCCTTGCTGGGAATTGGATCAGGGAGCGGCGCCGCCAGCGGTGACATCTCTCTCCATCACTCTGCGAGCTTTCCTCCTCCACCACTTCGCAGGCTCAGGGCTGGGAACGCCAGGAGCTTATGCTGATGGTTATCCTCTTTGCAGCCGGGCTCTCCAGGTGCCAGTGGTCCTGCCTGCTCACCACGAGGGGTTTGGGGGCTCGCATCCCTGCCAGCCCCTCCTGAACACTGCTTGTCCTCCCTGCATCCCACCAGGCTTCGTCCCAGGCTTTACCTAGAGCTGGAGGGGATCTGCTCGCCCACCCTGCCAGGTCTGCAGCCCGAAATCCTGGATATTATCCATGCCCACCACTAACTCAGCCATGAAATATTTGCCGTGCTGGTGCTCTGTGACAGCCTGGGTGGGAGCTGCTCTGTCCTGCTGCTGCTGAGGAGCAGTCAGCAGCTGGCAGTGATGCTGCTTTTACATGAAGCTTTGCCTAAGTGGGTTACTGTCGGAGATTAGCTGGAAATACCTCTGTTGAAATAGCGCATGGATTAGAAATAGACCTTTTCTCTGCGGTAATAGGTCACGGCAATTTGCTTTCTATTTTTTGCCGTCCTGCTCTGGCATTTGTGCGCTGATTTGAGTGCACGTCTGACCCGCAGCTTGGGCAACAAGAGAGCTCAGACACGGATCTGCAGGTCTTTTCAACTCCCGATTTGCCATGTGGAAAAAAAAAAAAACACCACCACCACTAATAAAAGCATATTTTTCAGTCCCTGAAAGCCACGGAAGTTCAGGCTGTGGGGACAGAGGTGGCAGCTGGCTCTGCCCGCAGCACCCAGCCTCTGTGCGGTGCCCCTGGAGAGCACAGGGGGTGTCCCGGAGAGCAGAGAAGCCAGAAGGGCTTTTCTCCCAGGGTATGGCTTTAGGATGAGTCTGCTCCCGTTAACGAGGTGCTGCAGTAATTGTTTGCTTGCTTCGTCACTTCAATTTGGAGCACGCGGATGTTAAGTAAGGCTTCTTGAGGAGAGGAAAATGATTCTCCCCGAGAGTTAGATCCTACAGAGAAAAACAAATTCATCAGACGTGTTTCGTAAAAACAATTAACAATAATTTCACTTGACCCCAATAGCACTAAATGAGATTATGAAAAGCTGAAAAAAATGTGCTCACTGTTCAATAACGTAATTATATTTGGTACCTGCACTTTTCCCTTTTCCAGGAGGCTGCAGAGAAAATCCGGCCCCTGCCACGCTCCCGCTGCTGCCTCCCTTGTGGCATGGGCACCCGGCGGGGAGGACTGCTGCCACCCCCTCCAGCTGCCCTGCACCGACAGGGATGCTCCTGGGCACTGTGTCTTTGGGCACTGTGTCTTTGGGCACTGCTTGTCCCGGGCTGGGGAGCAGGCGGAGGATCCCCAGCAGTGTCCCCGTGTCCCTGCAGCCTCACGCTGCATGTTTCTGGGTGAGGGTTTTGGGGCTGGAATGGGGACGTTCACCCCCTGTTTGTTCACTGCCACCTGCAACAGGCTCGGGGATGCGGCAGGAGTTTCCAAGGGCTACAAATTATTAAACAACGGTGATAAATTATAGATGGGGAGTAAAGGACATCGCAGAGGCAGACCTTGGCCATTCCCACACCTGCACAGCAGGGAGGCAGCTCCAGGCACACAGAGCTCAGCACGGCATGGCACACCATGGCATGGCACAGCCTCTGCAGAAGCACCAGGCACTTTTGGTGCTGGAAAAGCTCCAAAGCAGGACCATTTTCAGGAGTGAAGCTGCACTTGGAGGCCCCAGCCCAGCACTCGAAGGCAATCAGCTAAAAAGAGCAGTGACTGATGTAACCAAGGCAAGACAAAGCACATACAGTTGCTTTCAGGCTAATATGTAGATTTATGCAGAAAACAAATATAAAGAGCTGCATCTGTTGCAAGCAAAGTATAATTCATCATCAGGGAAGAGGTTTTGTTTCCTCGCAGCTACATGTGCTGTAGTTACATATTTTATTTTCCTTGTTGTTTTTTTTTTTTTTTTTTTTGTACCATGATGGTGGGGTTTTTTTTGGCTTTTTTGAAGTTTTGTTCCTTATTTGGAATACAGATTGGTAACAAAATACTTCCCGGAGAGGGCTGAGCGGATTCCTAATGTGGTAAATCAGCTGTCCCTGGCCCTTGGCTCTTCGTTACGCTCTGCAGTCCCCGGCAGGTCCAAGGCTGGCAGGCAGCCTGCGGGCAGCTGCACGCCGATGGTAGATAAGGCTGGCGTGGCACTGTTGCATTTGCAGGGTGGTTATTAGTCCCCTGGGACCCCCGGGATGAAGGAGGGAGAGGTTTTGAGCTGTCCCATAGATTTTGGAAAGCTGTTTGAGGGCAGTGGGCTCCAGGCAGGCGCTGCAAGGAACAGCTCGGGCTGCCCGTGGAGCTGCCGTGCCCACGCGCTGCTCCAGCAGGCTGC